CCTTAGTGAAGTAACATTCCACTTCCACACCGCTATAATCTTGCAACGGAGCTCTATAGCTGTGTGCTTTGTTACTTTTGCTGTATTAAGAAGGCTACAGTCCACTTGTAACAATATAAATATCAGCATTTTATATTATTATTAATTTAATTTAATTTAATTTAATTTATTATTATTATTATTATTATTATTATTATTTTATTATTATTTTTATTGTTATTTTGGTAATTTTAAAATTTAAATTTTATTTATTAAGAAAATAAAAAGGCAAAAGAACAGCTTTACTTATATGTTAAAAACAAAAAGCCGCTCCTTATATGAGAACTTACCAAAAGAAGTTTCAAAAAGACGAACAATCGCCGATTTAAGAGGTGTATTAAAAGATTGGTGATATCACAGCGATGAGATATCTGAAATTGATACTAAAAAAGCCAATAGGAAGCACCTAGCTGGCAACCGTATTGGTGACGATTACAAAAATTGAGTTATCAAAGTCTTGGATAAAAGCTGGTGCTTCTAGCAGGTAAAATCTAGATATATAATTAATAATTATTAGGCAGCACTGCCTGATACGAAATTGCTTAGCAGCTTACTATAATTTTTTGCCCAATAATAAAATTATTAGACAGATAAATCATATTAAGCTACAAGATAACTATTGGTAATAATAATAATAATAACAATAATAATATTACGTATTATTATTATTATTATTATTATTATTTTCTTTTTTTTAATAATAATAATTTTTTTTCAATTTACATCCAGTTGAAAGATATTTTGTGGTCGGCCAAAGAATTTTTGTTTGTAAAAAAAAAATGCACAAGATATTGCTGGAGAAATGCTCTGAGTTTATTAGATAGAACTTCATTATTACCTCCTGATGCATCGGCCTGGCTCATATCCCAATCTACCAATATCAATACTGATACAGACAGCATCAATAGCAATAATAATAACCCTGATGATCCTGATGACCCCCCAATAAAGATAATCCTGATGAGTCGGATGAAGAATACGAGCCTATTGCTGGGCTTAGTAACTTCTTGAATAAGATGTATTATTATATACAATCTCAAACAAAAAGAGTTCCAATTAGAACTACTTTTTCTATAAGTATAGTATTGTTTCTCATCTTCCCGATAGTCATTTCATTAGCAAGCCATTTATCTAACATTACATAGTGGTTAGGATTAGCATTTTTGTTAGCTATGAGTATATATATTATTAGTAAATTATCACTTTGTGTAATGTTAGATAAATGGCCTATTAATGCAATGACTATTGAGAAATTAGATATAATTAGGGATGATAACGGCTGGCTATTTTCGGCTTAGCAGACCGGCTAAGCTGAAAATAGCCAGCCATTGTCATTCCTAAATGTAATTCAGCTAAAGATTATATTAAAATATTAAATTTGAATTTGACAAAAAGCATTTGTCCAACCAACAATTTTTGCAACATTTAATAAAATTATTAAAAAAAACTAATAAAGAAAAGCAAAAGGAAGTTGGTGAAAAAGGAGCAGAAAGTGATAAAGGAAAGCAAAAGGAAGTTGTCGAAGAAGGAGCAGAAATTGATAAAGAAACACAAAAAGAAATTGGTGAAAAAGGAGCTGAAGTTGATAAAAGAAAACAGAAGGAAGTTGACAAAGAAGGAGCTGAAATTAATAAAGGAAAACAGAAGGAAGTTGGCGAAGAAGGAACCGAAGTTGATAAAGGAAAGCAGAAGGAAGTTGGCAAAGAAGGAGCTGAAGTTGATAAAGAAAACAAATGAAAGTTAACGAAGAAGCCAAAATTGATAAAGGAAAGCAAAAGGAAATTGTTGGTATGTATCGGAAAATAGTAATAGATACCAGCTATATAAAGTAATTTTATTTAGTATTTATATATACTTTTTCTGGTTTAGAACTCTATAGGAATCCTTCTTTAATATCAGAAGAAAAAACTTCTAGAGTTTCTAGTCATCAAGAATCTAATATTAACGCATTTGATATTAATAATCAAGATCCTAATACTGATGATAATGAAATTATAGAAACTCTTGCAAATACCGAAATCTTTTTACAATGTTTATTAGAACCAGAAAAACTAGAAGTTCAGGAGGAAAAAGGTGAGGAAAGTGAGGAAAGTGAACACAACTAAAAGTAAAAGAAAAAAAAAAAAAAAAAAAAAAAAACTTTTTTCTTTTCATGTTTTGATATCAGGTTATTGAAACTTTTTTTAATATATATTATTAAAGCGCAAATAATATATATATTGTTACAAAGTAGATTTTTAGTATAGATTTTATTATACATTATTTAGTTATTTTTAGTTATTATTATTCAAAATATTTGTATTTTTATATAGTTAAAATATTGGATATATTTATTATATTATTATATATTAGTTTTATATATATTTAGATAGAATATTATATAGTATTAATATAGAAACATTTTGATTAGCTATTGGAAGTGTAGCACAGTCACATGACCTCACATGACCTCAGATGATACAAGGTTACACAAAAGGATACTTTAGATTACACAAAGATATTACACAAGAAAGTAACACAAGTTCACCTTCTTCCCCTACACAAACACCTTCTTCCCTTGCACAAGTCCTAAATATTTTAAACACAAAATACTGTATAGCAAAGTTCTCTAATTCTCTACACAAGATGTAAATAAATATAAATATGATGAGTAATGTTTATATGTCCCCTACTTCACTCAGCACAATTACCTTCTTTACCCAACACAATCCTCTACTTCCTCTACATAAGTTCCCCTTCTTCCCCTGCCAAGTATTACTCATTTACTATGCATTGTGTATTTTCTCTATAGGTAAAAAAATATATAAAGGGTACATTTTCACCTCTTTGCCAATTCTATAAGTTTCTATACTTCACCTAGACTCTGTTCTCTTTATATCCTTCTTGTAAATGTGATATTCCCCCTCTAGAGTAATTCCTATAGACAAGGTTTATCCTGTGTTCTTGCATGAAATAAAGTTATTTTATATACTGTTACTATCTCAAACTATTTGTCTCCTACTGTGTAGTTAATTGACAATTCTCCAGTTAACTGAAGAATGATCATAGTGAAACGTGATGCGGTTCTATACATCAGGAAATTTTTTTATAAGATGTTAATCGATATATAACACTTTATCGATAAATATCATTTGTAATTTAATGATATATATCGATAAACCTGTTATTACTCGATATATATCCATAATCGATATAATTCGATAATTAGATATGCATTGATATTTATATAAATATCGATTATTAACGAATTTATTTAAACGCTACTATTCGATTAAGCGTTATCAATCGATATAATATACACTTTAAAATTAAACGCTGCAGATGGTAATTTAATTTCGTTCGAGCTTTGTTTTTTAGCTTTATTTTTTTCAATATTAATTTTTTTTCTGATTTCAATTTTTTTTCGATTTTAATTTTATTCGATCTTTTTTTTCTTTTTTTTTATTCAATCTTTTTTTTTTTATTCAATCTTTTTTTTTTATTTGATCTTTTTTTTTTATTCAATCTTTTTTTTTATTCGATCTTTTTTTTTTTTTATTCGATTTCTGTTAGTTTTTTTGATTTAGTTTTTTTTTATTTAGTGTCTTTTTACTAATGTATTCTTTCTTTCTTGTAGGTCTTGTACTTCACTGAGAAGAGTTAATTGGCACTGGGCTTGAGATCTCGAACCTGAAACTAATACCAAGATAAAGACCAGTTCGTATTTTTTTGCTTTTTCGTTTTTTGGCATTGTTACTAACTTTTCTTTCTTTCTTTCTTGTAGGTCTTGTACTTCGCCAGGAAGGGTTAATTGGCACCGGGCTTGAGATCTCGAATCTGGAACTGGTACCAAGATAAGTACCAGTTTGTATTTTCTTTGCTTTTTCGTTTTTTGGCATTGTTACTAACTTTTCTTTCTTTCTTTCTTTCTTGTAGGTCTTGTACTTCGCCGGGAAGAGTTAATTGGCACCAGGCTTGAGATCTTGAACCTTGAACTGGGTACCAAGATAAGTACCAGTTCGTATTTTCTTTGCTTTTTCGTTTTTTTTTTTGCTGTTGCTAA